ATATAGTTATTACCATACGTATAAGTATTAATTAAAATAACTGTATTTGTCGAGTAATAATTAAATGAGATTGCAGCCGATGAAATTATAATGATAGATAACAATGTACGTTACGTATAGAATTGTTTAATTCACACACGAACACGTACACAGATGCACGATGGCGTGAACGAAAGATTCGCATTTATGTGTAATATGTATCGATCCGAACGTCTATCCGTATATACGTATTACATATATTATATGTATGCATACGAACGTAAATAATATTCAACAGTCGTTCGAGTGAAATAGAGAAAGGGAAAGAGAATGTCAGTGGTGGTAACCGGTAGAAATAGAGAATAAGTGTTTAAGACAGGAAGACAAGCATGCACGATACCGATTGATAATTAATGGAGAGACATACGGTTTGACAGGATCGATAAATTATCGGAATCGGTAGAGGCAAGACAAGAATGGGAAAGTAAAGATAATCGACGAAGCGGGAGACGAAGAATTGTTTTGAGAAAAGATAAACGAGGCAAATAAAATAATCATGAGAGAAAGGCAGAGAGAGAGAGAGAGATGAACAGAATGAGTGTGTGGGAGAGAATGTGAAACAGGTGAGTAAGTAATTTTAAAAGAGTAATTAATTAATTTTATACTTTCTCGAGAACGTTGTAAAATGCTCAAACAAAACAAAACATACAAAGAAAATGATAAAAAAAAGAGAAAGGATGCGAGAATAAGAAGAACTGGGAGAAATCTTATCTATCAACAGAACTGGAGTGTGACCCATTTGAATTTGATTCGCGTTGGGCTCAAATCGATTGGTCTTCGATAGTTACGACGCGTCGGTGTGTCCGAACAACATTTCGATGAACGATGTACTGAACAATCTATAGATATCAGTTATATTGTAAGACCAAAATTAATGATAAATCTATGCATTCTCTGTAACAAAGTAACGAGATGATTGGAAAGGTAGAAATGTGAACGTTACTCCATCCAATGCAGAGATCTGCCTGTACAACATACGCACAAAATCTTTTAATTGAACTGAAAGATTACTGAAATTTGTTAATTGAAAACGGAGCGAGTAATAAACGACTAAGGCGTGTAAAACAGTTACAAAATCATTGGACGTCAATAATTTCGATAAATAGGGAAAATGAATCGTTCGTCGAATCGGGTTTTCGCATACATCGTCGACTCGAGACATAAGTTAATAAAAGCGAGTAAGGTGAAAGAAGGTAGATAGTGGGGTAAGAGGAAAGGAGGAAGGGTGAGAAAGATAAAGAAATGGGGATATGATATGATAGTAGAATGAAATAGAGGGAAGAAGGAACGGTGGAAAAAAAGATGAGAGGAAAAAAATTAATAATACAAAAATATTAATACCTAAATGCCCGGTTTATTTTTATATTTATTTTTCGATCTATGAAACGTTATAAAAGTTTAAAAAAAGTAATATTTAAATCTAAATATATATGACGATAAAATATTATATACTTATGCTCTGTGTATGATATATAAATATATATATGATTATTATTACTATTATTATTATTATTTTTTTTATTATTACTCCTACTAATACTACTATTGCTACTTTGACGAAAAAATAAGGCTTCTCTCAACTCATCCTCATCAAGCACAGCATCAGTTATTATTTTTTCAATATCGATAAATCTATAAGACTATATTTGTTAAATGAACAATATTCGAATATTCGATGTTACGTGGTGGTACATTATTATTTTTAACCCAATCTGGCCAATCAAACTAATAAATCGTGTTAATATAAATCGCGTAACTTAAAAATCGTGTGAAAAAATACCATGTAAAAGGAGGGTCAGGTGTACAGGGTATATAAAAATTATACGTCATGACTACCGTAGCGGATTTCTATACCTCTGAATCGGTGAAAACCTCTTCAAAAAATGAACCGTAAAATTGATATTGATGTTGAAAATCAAGATCAAAAAATTAAAAATTGTTCGTATATTGTATCATATAGTACTTATCGAGTCAATCACCTACACAAAAGACGACGTTAAAGTTTCGATGATTGTTAAGCTTACTTCTTTGTAATACGATAAGCTATTCAGTCGAGGTCAATTTTGCGGTCCATTTTTTAAAAAGATTTCTACCGATCCAAAGGTATAGAGTCTCGCTACGGTGGTCGTGACATAACTTTTATAAACCCTGTTCATTGTAACTAAATATCATTTCTTGAATTGAGCATTAATTTTGTATAAAAATCCGCAGTCTACTGATATTCTAAATAGCGGTTTTTAGATTCGTAGGAATTATTAAGGCGCCTGTGCCTTGTCGAAATTAATATATACATGAAGCATTATGAGCCATGGTAACTTAAAGTTACTTTTGTTGATTATTTAGATTATTTCCAAGCATCCACGCAGTTGCGTTAATATTAATTTATTTACTTCCCGAAAAGTAATTATCTCGAATCGTCGCATCGTTAAAATTGTTCATATTGTATGCATTACGAGTTGTATTATAACATTCAAATTTATTTAAATTACGTAAGGTCAGATTCTTTTTTATAGTTTTCTAAATGCTGTATGCGTGATATAAATGTATGTACGTGCTCGGTAATTTTTGAAATCAAGAGATGTTAGGTGAATCACGAAGTGTTCGTATAAAGTGTACGTATTTACGTAAAATGGACGTGCAAATGGTGGAGAGAAAGGGAGAGAGTGGGAGTGTAAGTTA